GCAGCTGGTGCTCATAGCAAGCCTCACCAGACAGCTTCAGTCCATATCGAATGTACAGGATGGAGTTAAGGGTCTGCAAGGACATCCGATTTCTAAGTTTGCTTTTTACCACACTCATCTGGCTGAATACTCTCTCGACCTCAGCATTCGAGTGTGGCAAGGACAACACAGACACAGCAGCCATGGCAAGTTTTTAAAACGGGTTGATATCAGCTGCATCCCTGAACCTCCAAATCTCACTCCAGAAGCCCAGTGTGTTTTTTGTCTCATTCCATTTACTAAGATGAATGGCACGCCATTGCTGGACAATCTTGTCTATCTCTGCAGGTGAGTAGCCAAGGAGCTTGGCTATTTTTTATATTTCTCCAGGGCTCTTATTGTGCTTTAGAGTTTCCTCCACATTGAAAACTGACATGTACTGCAATGCTTCGATGTTGTCCGGCAGTCTCACCCTCAACTCATTAGTGAGGGAGATGGTGAAGGCTACACACCGCTTTCAGATATTGTTTTCATCCTCAGGCGCAAGGTGGAGCTCAGCTGCCTTTGACTCAAAAAGGTAACCAAGGTACGGTTTGGGACTGATGTATCCATCTATTGGCCCTTTGAGTACATCAACATTTGCCAGTGGATTCAGCACCCTGCTGCTCACAGACTTGATCAGGCTAACCAAGCTGTCAAGTAGCTTAAGAGGATCTACTTGCTCTCCCTCAAAAGCCTTGATGGCCAACTGTACCTCACCCAGCACTGACTTCAAAAAAGTCAGATACAATATGTTTTGAGGATCACTGCACATGGAGTATAAAACCTCAGCCATGTAGCAGTGTTCACTGGACTTGGTGACTGCGAAATGCAGCCTAAGCTCCTCCTACTGGTCCAAAATGCGTGAAACCGCAGGTTCAATGGAGAGCCAACGTGTGGCACACACCTTGGTTATCTGTAAAGGTTTCTCCCCACAGTTAATGGTCTCATAAATGGCCTTGTAGGCCTCCCTGTGCTTTGGAGACACTGAAAACCAGTTATAAGTCTCTCGTACCAAGTACTCCACACTACGGGGGATGGTGTCATTGGAAGCATGACTTACAGCAAGCTGCAGAGAGTGGCACACACAGCGAATAAGAACCAGATCTTTGAGGCCATACTCCTCCTTCAGCACTTTATGGACTCCATTGTTAATCCCCGTCATAACAGAGGCATTGTCAGTCCATATCCCCAGGAGTTTCTCTTTTTTAAGACAACACTTATCGAGGAAAGCCACAACTGCACGGGCTATAGATTTGGCATCTCCTCCCTCCAACTCAACAAGCCCCAGAAATGTTGATACAATTGTCTGCTTGGTGTCACTAAAGTACCTTATCACAACCCCCAAGTACTTAGAAACACTTACGTCCGTGGACTCATCGAGGAGGAGGCTGAAACGCTGGTCAACCACATCGGCGACCAAATTTTTCAGAACATATGGTGCTAGAACACCATTAATCATGTCTGTGCACTTTGTCCTGTGCATTTTGAAGTGGGTAGCAGCAGTGGAGTCTGAGAAAGCAGCTCTACATGCTTCTCCAATGTGATCACATGCCAGCATGGAACAGTGGCCTCAGCCTTTTTTGCAGAGTAAATTTTTAACCATAAATGGCTTGTTTTGGTGGAACTGTTATAAGGCTTTGCCTTTTGAGTATGTTTTTGAGTTGTCATGTGTTTTTTTTACATCACTAAGTTTGGCGTAGAAATCAGCCTTACAATACAGGCAGTATGCCCGTGTATCATCTCCAATAAACGGCTTCAACCAGCCTTTGAATTCAGGGTTTGATTCCCACTCCTTTCTGTATTTTTAAGTGTACAGTTTAGACTGAGACATGATGAGCTAGCCAGCTAGATGTTTAGCTTATGTCACAGAGAGGCACACACACAGTGGACGAGGTGAGTAAGTGACTGAGGCTGTGTCAGTCAAATGCAGTGATTTATTTTTGTGCAGTGATTTATTTTAGACAAAGAACATTTCACATTTACATCCCGCCCTGAATGTAAGCCAGGGCGGGATCAGCCAGCGGCGGCTTCCCGCATGCGTGATTCATTTGCAGTCTGGATGCGGAGGGGTGAACATCTCCTGCTCTGACTGCAGCTGGGAGGGACTGCTGCGCGAGGACTGGGCCGCCTGTGAGTTCTTTGGGACGGGAGTGGGCCCGTGTGGGGCCCACGGCAGCACCCACTGCTCGTTGAGAAGAGTAAGAAGGATACGTGCTTTCATGTCAGAGTCTCCAAAAGTTCCCGATGACAGAAGGCGATAGTAATTTAGTCCAGTTACCTTCGCTTTCAACCAACTTCCATAATAAAGTCTCCAAGGGCCCAGTATGGTATTTAGGTGAAGAGTGACACATGCCTTACAATAAACAGTTTGATGGGAGTATTATTATTCTCGGAAGGCAATAGTGAGTGCAAAATAATAGTTAAAGTCCATAACCTAGGTGGCTAATTCATATACAGGAAATGTACATACACCTTAGCCAAATACATTTAAACTCAGTTTTTCACAATTCCTGACATTTAATCCTTTTTTTTTTTTTTTTTTTTTTTTCGGGGGGAAGGATCAGCTTAATATTGCAGATAGATTGTATCTTCTATCAATTTAATCCCATTTAATCCTAGTAAAAATTCATTGTCTTAGGTCAGCTAGGATCACCACTTTATTTTAAGAATGTGAAATGTCAGAATAATACTAGAGAGAATTATTTATTTCAGCTTTTATTTATTTTATCACATTCCCAGTGGATCAGAAGTTTACATCCACTCCAATACCTTGACTTTGTTGTCCTTAAGCCATTTTGCCACAACTTTGGAAGTATGCTTGGGGTCATTGTCCATTTGGAAGACCCATTTGCAACCAAGCTTTAACTTCCTGACTGATGTCTTGAGATGTTGCTTCAATATATCCACATAACTTTCCTTCCCCATGATACCATCTATTTTGTGAAGTGCACCAGTCCCTCCTGCAGCAAAGCACCCCCACAGCATGATGCTGCCACCCCTGTGCTTCACGGTTGGGATGATGTTCTTCGGCTTGCAAGCCACCCCCCTTTTCCTCCAAACATAACGATGGTCATTATGGCCAAACAGTTCTATTTTTGTTTCATCAGACCAGAGGACATTTCTCCAAAAAGTACGATCTTTGTCCCCATGTGCAGTTGCAAACCATAGTCTGGCTTTTTTTATGGCGGTTTTGGAGCAGTGGCTTCTTCCTTGCTGAGCGGCCTTTCCGGTTATGTCGATATAGGACTCGTTTTACTGTGGCTATAGATACTTTTGTACCTGTTTCCTCCAGCATCTTCACAAGGTCCTTTGTGTTGTTCTGGGATTGATTTGCACTTTTCGCACCAAAGTACGTTCATCTCTAGGAGACAGAACGCGTCTCCTTCCTGAGCGGTATGATGGCTGCGTGGTCCCATGGTGTTTATACTTGCATACTATTGTTTGTACAGATGAACGTGGTACCTTCAGGCGTTTGGAAATTGCTCTCAAGGATGAACCAGACTTATGGAGGTCTACAATTGTTTTTTCTGAGGTCTTGGCTGACTTCTTTTGATTTTCCCATGATGTCAAGCAAAGAGGCACTGAGTTTGAAGGTAGGCCTTAAAATACATCCACAGGTACACCTCCAATTGACTCAAATGATGTCAATTAGCCTATCAGAAGCTTCTAAAGCCATGACATCATTTTCTGGAATTTTCCAAGCTGTTTAAAGGCACAGTCAACTTAGTGTATGTAAACTTCTGACCCACTGGAATTGTGTTACAGTGGATTATAAGTGAAGTAATCTGTCTGTAAACAATTGTTGGAAAAATTACTTGTGTGCACAAAGTAGATGTCCTAACTGACTTGCCAAAACTATAGTTTCTTAACAAGAAATTTGTGGAGGGGTTGAAAAACTACTTTTAATGACTCCAACCTAAATGTATGTAAACTTCCAACTTCAACTGTAGGTTATTGATGACTCCTTGGTTGATACTAAGCTAAACAAACACATTCTGATATACTGTAACTGGGTTAGGCAACTTGAGTTAATAAAGCAAAAAGAATGTGATTAAATTGATGATTGTATATCCTCCCACCCTGTTGTTATATGGCGTGTCTATTAGTAGGATCTTCCCATTGCATTTATTTTATTGTGAGGATGCATTGGAGGCCTCTGACTATCAATAACAAGATAACAAGATATCATCATCTTCTATTGTCTTCTAGAAATGTTTATTTTTTTATTGTTATGCAATGTATTATAATTTATGTCCATAGTCCATCTGATGAGTAGATATGGTAACCGTGAGGATCCTTTATTTTATAGCACGCTCTCTCTCACAAGGCTTGAGTGGCTCCTCAATAGCAAACTGAAATATAAAATACTTATTCACTATATCCTTAAATTTAGCAGTAACCTTTTATTGTGACTGTCTGTTTACTACATAGCAATAACTACCTATTAATCTAAATAACTTAAATCCATCCAACCATCCCCATTCTTGTGAAGTTGTTTACAGGAAAATTCTAATTCCCTCACAAACAGAGCAGAAGTCTCTGTACTCTAGGTGTTGGGTTGAACTCTACAGGCTACTCATGGCAGCTCTATGTCCCGAAAGGAAAAATACTATTAAGTAAGAATGGTTTTAATATAATATACAGATTTGTTTAACTTCATCAAACAAGTAAACACAACCTCTGGAGAAATACAGTATGAGTTTTGTTTTGTAGCATGATACCTCCTATCAAATTAAGTCTTAGTCTGTGTATACATTTATATAAATCGAGTACATAAATCTGTGGTGTATTTTAATTCAGTAGATTTTATTGCTAAGTGTCTAACAAAGTTCATCGACTTTCTTTCTCTGTAATTATGTTAAATCATATGCCGTAAAATAGCATCTCTACATTCAGGTAGATAGTAAAGGTATGGTGCGTGATTATGATCTGATGAAGGCTAGATCTGCTGGGATTGGGATTCCATAAAAAGGACCAAAGGTGACAGCAGCATGACTGTCTGTCTGGGAGACTCAAGTCTCTCTGTACCAGAGGCTTTTGATCTTTTAGCTCTCTCTCACCGTAGCAGACGGGAAGCAGACGGAACACAACCTGGTCTCTGTCTCTCTCACTCCTAGGCCAGGACCCTCACAGGGTAAGATGTTTATCAGTTATATATGCACTGCTTTTATCAATTATTAGGATGAACTATCAGTTTAATTATTATCAATTAAAACATGCTCAATGAAGTTTGACTTGTTTTGGTTATCTTTTAATCAGTCTTGTGTGACATTTTTTCTTTGTGAGGTGATTCCATGTGATGTTACCATTTCATACAGTTATAGTAAATGTAAAAATGATGTTTTCTTTATTTCATAATGATAGCATGTCCTTTTTATTTTTCATGGATGATAGTTATACTGATAGATAAATAGACGATTTTACTTTCATTGCCACAGGTTTGCATATAAACCTATTTGATTTATGCTATTATTTGATAGCTCAGTGATAAAAGAAAAGATCAGTTCGCACACACACTGCCAAAATGATCAGGCAGGCAACTATGTTTGTATTAAAGAGAGTACTAAGGCCTACTATGTGAATGTTGTTTCAGATTCTACACCAATAGCATACAAAAGCACTAAAGTGGCTCAATAAACATCAAAAATGAGTATTCTCAAGAAGAGTATTCTCAAGGAGAAGAAGATCAGTAAGTTGTTTATTGTTGTATGTCAATGCTGATTCAGCATTATGACAGACTTCCTATGATGCCTCTATATGATATGTAACCATGCCTGAAAGCCCCAGTAGCTGCATATACACATACAGTTGAAGTCGGACGTTTACATACACCTTAGCCAAAGACATTTAAACTCTGTTTTTCACAATTCCTGACATTTAATCCTAGTAAAAATTCCCTGTCTTAGGTCAGTTAGGATCACCACTTTATTTTAAGAACGTGAAATGTCAGAATAATAGTAGAGAGAATGATTTATTTCAGCTTTTATTTCTTTCATCACATTCCCAGTGGGTCAGAAGTTTACATACACTCAATTAGTATTTGGTAGCATTGCCTTTCAATTGTTTAACTTGGGTCAAACATTTCTGGTAGCCTTCCACAAGCTTCCCACAATAAGTTGGGTGAATTTTGGCCCATTCCTCCTGACAGAGCTGGTGTAACTGAGTCAGGTTTGTAGGCCTCCTTGCTCACACACGCTTTTTCAGTTCTGCCCACAAATGTTCTATAGGATTGAGGTCAGGTATTTGTGATGGCCACTCCAATACCTTGACTTTGTTGTCCTTAAGCCATTTTGCCACAACTTTGGAAGTAGGCTTGGGGTCATTGTCCATTTGGAAGACCCATTTGCGACCAAGCTTTAACTTCCTGACTGATGTCTTGAGATGTTGCTTCAATATATCCACATAATTTTCCTTCCTGATGATGCCATCTATTTTGTGAAGTGCACCAGTCCCTCCTGCAGCAAAGCATCCCCACAGCATGAAGCTGCCACTCCCGTGCTTCACGGTTGGGATGGTGTTCTTCGGCTTGCAAGCAACCCCCTTTTTCCTCCAAACATAACGATGGTCATTATGGCCAAACAGTTCTATTTTTGTTTCATCAGACCAGAAGACATTCTCCAAAAAGTATGATCTTTGTCCCCATGTGCAGTTGCAAACCATAGTCTGGCTTTTCTATGGTGGTTTCGGAGCAGTGGCTTCTTCCTTGCTGAGCGCCCTTTCAGGTTATGTCGATATAGGACTCGTTTTACTGTGGCTATAGATACCTTTGTACCTGTTTCCTCCAGCATCTTCACAAGGTCCTTTGTGTTGTTCTGGGATTGATTTGCACTTTTTGCACCAAAGTACGTTCATCTCTAGGAGACAGAACGCGTCTCCTTCCTGAGCGGTATGACGGCTACGTGGTCCCATGGTGTTTATCCTTGCATACTATTGTTTGTACAGATGAACGTGGTACCTTCAGGCGTTTGGAAATTGCTCCCAAGGATCAACCAGATTTGTGGAGGTCTACAATTTTTTTTCTGAGGTCTTGGCTGATTTCTTTTGATTTTCCCATGATGTCAAGCAAAGAGGCACTGAGTTTGAAGGTAGGCCTTAAAATACATCCACAGGTACACCTCCAATTGACTCAAATGATGTCAATTAGCCTATCAGAAGCTTCTAAAGCCATGACATAATTCTCTGGAATTTTCCAAGCTGTTTAAAGGCACAGTCAACTTAGTGTATGTAAACTCCTGACCCACTGGAATTGTGATACAGTGAATTATAAGTGAAATAATCTGTCTCTAAACAATTGTTGGAAAAATTACTTGTGTCATGCACAAAGTAGATGTCCTAACCGACTTGCCAAAACTATAGTTTGTTAACAAGAAATGTGTGGTGTGGTTGAAAAACGAGTTTTAATGACTCCAACCTAAGTGTATGAACACTTTCGACTTCAACTGTAAGATAGTACTTTACATGTATTTTGGGTCCGTCTAGCTATCACCTGAAAGGGCCTACTCTGATATCACTTCTAAGTACAAGTAGAGTAAATGCCTTATCAGACAGATTAGTGGTTAAGAGCGTTGTGCCAGTAACGAAATGGTCGCTGGTTCTAATCCCCGAGCCGACTAGGTGAAAAATCTGTCGATGTGCCCTTGAGCAAGGCACTTAACCCTAATTGCTCCTGTAAGTTGCTCTGGATAAGAGCATCTGCTAAATGACTAACATTTAATTTTAACCCATGTAAAATGTCTATAATCAATTGACAAAGTTTGGTTTTGTGTATGTGTGTGTCAGAATTCGACGATGTCGAGGAGAGTGCAACGCAGGACAGCTCGATCGGGGCAGTACGATGGGAACTGCCAGAAGATCTACAGACTCACAACTCAGCACCTACCTCCAATAAACAAACACTCAGCAGCAAACCATCCAGGCAAAAGGTACAGGATGGACATTAGAGTCGGAGCAAGAGGGAGAGAGAAAGAGAGAGATTGAGAATAAATTATATGGATAGTGAAAGTGAGAGACAGTGAATTGACAGCTTGATTTTCTTTTTTGTATCTCTTTCCTTATAGAGCCTAAAGGACATGCGTAGCCTGCAGGACTGTGTTAGATTCATCACACAGTGGAAACAACAGGTGGAGGTCGTCTGCAAGGTAGGCCTGAGACAAAATATTTAAGAATCAAGGTAGGCCTGAGACTAAATATTTACGGTCTGCAATGTAGGCCTGTGACTAAAAATATTTAAGGTCTGCAAGGTAGGCCTGAGACTAAATATTTACGGTCTGCAAGGTAGGCCTGTGACTAAATATTTACGGTCTGCAAGGTATGCCTGAGACTAAATATTTACGGTCTGCAAGGTATGCCTGAGACTAAATATTTACGGTCTGCAAGGTAGGCCTGAGACTAAATATTTAAGGTCTGCAAGGTAGGCCTGAGACTAAATATTTAAGGTCTGCAAGGTAGGCCTGAGACAGAGGGTCTGTCTGTGCTGGGCCCTACTGTATAAGGTTTGGTTAGGTAGGCCTGAGACTTAGGGACTGGGTCCCACGTTGGGCCCAAATCCTTTGTTGTTTGTATATTTGTATATTTCTTGATCAGTCTTTATTGGGATGTAGAGATCTATCATATGTGTAGGAGTACTGAAACACTGTATGGGAGGTGGCGTTCTGTTGTAGGGTAATGTAGATTGACAGTTGAAATCATCAGTTACCTCTAGGTATACACACGGTATACTGGTATGTATAACACCTTATATACTGAGTAAATGAGGCAAGAAGAGTATAAATTAATCTCTGTTTTTGAAAGCTTTGTGGTTGTTGAGCAGATTCTATTGAAACACGTGTCAAATTCTATTGAGTCACGTTCTGACTAAAATGAGACTACTCAGCGTGATGTCTTAGTTTGTTATGGATTATAATGGAGTTTATTTCATGCTGATAGAACATGAATTTTCTGGTTATAGATTTGTCATTATGGTTTCCTGGTTGAGTTCTTTCTTTGTCTGGTTTGATCTGCTTATGGACAGTAAATTACTTCACATCATTTGAAGAAACTAAATGCAATCACTAAATTAAATCACTAAAGGAAATCATGCTTTGTTTTGGATTTGATCGTTTGAGCAAAATATTATGCATCATATTCTATCTACAGTGTATGTATGTCGGTATGGCATGTTTATCAGTTAACCTTTATCCTGAGCCGTAATCCAGAATGGCCTTTGACAAGGAAATAGAGCCTTCACTGTTGTTGTTTTATGGGACTTTCATAAACGTTGCTCTGGGAGACCTTATGTCATAAATCCATGGATCACGGTGGTTGATAAAAAACTGTATAATTCTTATGACATAATTTACCAGTCCTTAGATAAACTAAATGTGGAATAAGATACTGGATCTAAATTTGGTGGGGGAGATGCTACATCAGGTCATTGGGACAGGAGTGGGTGTGGTTGTTGTGGGCTGACATATGAATGGGAAGAAGCTTTGGGGCAAATTACGGAATTTCTTGCAAACCTGGGTTCAAATACTATTTGAAATCATTTAAAATACTTTATCTGTGCTTGATTGAGCTTGCCTGACTTAATGCACCAATAGAATAGTCACAAAACTGTAAACCCCACCTATCTAGCAGGCTAGAGGAAATGCTCAAATAGTATTTGAACCCTGGTCTGATGTCTTGAATGGAGTGTAAATGACAGTTTTGTTATTGTGTGTTGTTCTGCAGCTCAGAAAGAATGTCAGAGTGGACCAGCAGAGCGTACAGAGTCTGGAACAGTGTCGAAAACTCATCCTCCAATGGGCAGAGGAGTTGAAGAGAGTGGACACAGTGAGTGGGTTACTAACAATATTCTCACGAATCTCATCTCGAGCTACTTGCATATTCATACTGTAAAATATGGATGCTGTTGACTAGGACAAGACAGATGAAGTGGAGGGGGGAAGTGATCTCCTATACTTTACTATGATGTGAATTAATGAAACCAGGATGATCAATTGAGAATCCATGAATCTTACTCATAACAATGATTTATTTCACAAGATAATGAGACACTGATACAAACACAGTAATTGGCTATACTTCATATGTTTTTCCCTGTCCCACAGAGTTCCTGGATACAGGAGCGAGGTGACTTCGTAGACCTGGAGAAGAACAGGGAGGATCTTGACCCCTCCACACAGGCAGAGCAGAGGATCATGGAATGGGCTAAGGAGCTGCAGAGTGTCACAGAGGTGTGTGTGTTCTTGCCAGTCATAGCCATCATTGCTGATTTATACATATCATTGGTGTAGGTAGAGGTTGCCTGATCTAGGGTCAGAGTCAGTCTCAGTGAGATTAAATCAGTTAATGAACCTTGCACTGTTTGTGTCCATTCAGAGATGTGGTCTGATGAGGGATGAGCTGACCCAGATGCTGAGACGGCTGGAGCTGAATAAAAAGAAGCTGGTGACCCTCCTCCCCTTCCTGGAGTTCATCACCTGGTCTCTACTGAAGGAAGAGGACAGCAGCACGGTGAGGCACACAGCCCTAACCCTATGTTCAATCCTAACCCTGACCCTAACCACAACCCTAGCTTCATGTCCACATACTGGTTCAACCCTAACCATAACCCTGCCACCCACACATTTCTCTCAATCTTTGTAGGATCCAGTCTTATTAAATGTCTTTACAATTTCAAGCTATGATTGGTACCATCTACCTTTTTCAAATGCAACACACACAATTTGAGTTAGGTTTCGATTCACCTAGAATATTGTCCTCGGATAACATTGTGTCAACCAAAAGAGGAGGACGGCTCCAGATAAAGCTCTTATGCAAGCAGTGATAAGGCAGCCGCCTAATCAAAGGGGCTATAGACTAGCCAATATAAATCGTTATCAGATCAGAGACAAACCATCAGCAATACTTCATGCTGACCTTTCTATTACCTACAGTTGAGTCAACCGTTTTGGAATGGAATACTACCCTCTAGAACTGCCCATTGGTAAAACAGTGCCTCCTTTATTACTCCTGGTCATGCCCTCTGGCCCCTGCTCTCTTTCTCTATCAACCACTGGCATTGCCCCAATTCTGACGCAACCCTTCTCTTTGCTCCTCCTATAGGGTATCGTTCCCCAGCTATGGCTGGCTATGAAACAACGCACCTGGAAAACAGGTATGTTCGCCCCCTCCTAACATCCAAATCTTTTTGCTTTCTGGCTGTGAATGTTTGAAAAGTGTCATTATTTTAACATTTGAATGTTATAGAGGTATGTTATCGTCTTCTTCTCCTGAATTGACAGAAACGCCTAAGTACATCCCAAACTCAGTGTGGAACTGGATCTGCAGTGCTTCAGGTAATTATGCTTCATTTGCTGCATTTCATAATTCAGTACAGTGTTTACCAACTCTGGTCCTCAAGTACTGCCAACAGTACATCTTTTTGCTGTGGCCCCAGACACGCACACCTGATTCTACTTGTCAACTAATCATCAAGCCCTTGACAAGTTGAATCAGGTGTTTTTGTCTGTGGCTACGACAAAAATGTGTGCTGTTGGGGGTACTCGAGGACCGGAGTTGGGAAACACTGCAGTACAGTGACATGAAAATGTATTTAGATGGACAGATTTGATTTGATTTTAAAATAATACAATTCCAACCATACAAGTGGATACAGTGCTTTCAAAATAACCGAGAATAACAGAAAAAAAGGTTTACTTAAATAATTTCAATTGTGGTCCTCTATTGCCCAGAAACACATTATACATGCACTAAAACCTCTCCTCTCACGTTGTCCTCCTACATAGTTGACGTTAACTTGGACCCTATGACCAACCACCCGTGGCTGCTGCTCTCAGACGACCATAAGAAGGTCCAGGAGGCTCACTGCACGACAGAGGTGGACTTCAGCACGCAGCGCTATGACGGCTGGCCCTGCGTCCTGGGCTGGGAGGGCATGTCCTCTGGACGTCACTACTGGGAGGTCACCCTGGCCAACAACGGATACTGGAGAGTCGGTCTGACCACCGCCACGTCCAAACGCCACGGTCGCTTCCCTATGACCCCCGCCGAAGGCTACTGGGCCCTGTGGCGCAGCACGAGGCAGTTATATGCCTGCACCAAGCCAGAGACCTCCCTGCCCCTGGAGATGCTGCCCCGCAATGTGGGCATCTATCTGGACTTCGAGGAGGGTCAGATCTCCTTCTACAACGCGGAGACCCGGGCGCACATCTATACATTCACCGATAACTTCAAGGAGAAGCTGTATCCACTATTTGCTCCGCTGGATGGACGCACCCTCATCACCATCTCATCGCCGAAGTATGTCAGAGATGTAGACTAGGCACCCCCTACCTAATCTCAGAACCCCAAACTCGTGTGTCTGTCAGAAGAGCCTCTACCCATCATAGGGGCGGTTCCTGCTAGTCCTGGACTGAAAAACTAACTCAATGGAGATTCTCAGGATTAGCCTTAATCAGTGTGAGTGAAACCACCCTATGGTTTACAGCAACAACAGATAACCTTGATCCTGGAACCGTGACCTCAAAATATCTGTTAAGAGCCCTCCTATTGCCTCCATGGATGATGTATCTAGTATCTATGAATTATCTATTTAGTGTCTAGTATCTATGAAGTATCTATTTAGTATCTATGTAGTATCTCTGAAGTATATATTTAGTATCTATACTGAACAAAAATAAACGCAACATGCAACTATTTCAAAGATTTTGCTGAGTTACAGTTCATATAAGGAAATCAGTAAATGTAAATAAATAAATTAAGCCCTAATCTAGGTATTTCAAATGACTGGGCAGGAGCGCAGCCATGGGTGGGCCTGGGAGGGCATAGGCCCACCCAATCAGAATTCATTTAAAAAAAAAGTTAATTTGTGGAATTTCTTTCCTTCTTAATGCATTTGAGCCAATCAGTTGTGTTGTGACAAGGTAGGGGGTGTATACAGAAGATAGCCCTTTTTGGTAAAAGACCAAGTCCATATTATGGCAAGAACAGCTCAAATAAGCAGAGAGAAACGACAGTCCATCATTACTTTAAGACATGAAGGTCAGTCAATACGGAACATTTCAAGAACTTTGAAAGTTTCTTCAAGTGCAGTCGCAAAAACCATCAAACGCTATGATGAAACTGGCTCTCATAAAGACCGGCACAGGAAAGGAAGACCCAGAGTCACCTCTGCTGCAGAGGATAAGTTCATTAGAGTTACCAGCCTCAGAAATTGCAGCCCAAATAAATGCTTCACAGAGTTCAAGTAACAGACACATCTCAACATCAACTGTTCAGAGGGGACTACGTGAATCAGGTCTTCATGGTCAAATTGCTGCAAAGAAACCACTACTAAAGGACACCAATAAGAAGAAGACTTGCTTGGACCAAGAAACACGAGCAATGGACATTAGACCGGTGGAAATCTGTCCTTTGGTTTGATGAGTCCAAATGTGAGTTTTTTGGTTCCAACTGCTGTGTCTTTGTGAGACGCAGAGTAGGAGAACGGATGATCTCTGCATGTGTGGTTCCCACCGTGAAGCATGGAGGTGGTGGTGTGATGGTGCTTTGCTGGTGACACTGTCAGTGATTTATTTAGAATTCAAGGCACACTTAACCAGCATGGCTACCACAGCATTCTGCAGCGTTACGCCATCCCATCTGGTTTGCGCTTAGTGGGACTATAATTTGTTTTTCAACAGGACAATGACCCAACACACCTCCAGGCTGTGTAAGGGCTATTTGACCAAGAAGGAGAGTGATGGAGTGCTGCATCAGATTACCTGGCCTCCACAATCACCCAGCTTCAACCCAATTGAGATGGTTTGGGATGAGTTGGACCGCAGAGTGAAGGAAAAGCAACCAACAAGTGCTCATATGTGGGAACTCCTTCAAGACTGTTGGAAAAGCATTCCAGGTGAAGCTGGTTGAGAGAATGCCAAGAGTGTGCAAAGCTGTCATCAAGGCAAAGGGTGGCTATTTGAAGAATCTCAAATATAAAAATATATTTTGATTTGTTTAACACTTTTTTGGTTACTACATGATTCCATGTGTTATTTCATAGTTTTGATGTCTTCACAATTATTCAACAATGTAGAAAATAGTAAGAATAAAGAAAAACCCTTGAATAAGTAGGTGTTTAAACTTTTCACTGGTACTGTATATATATATAAGAATAGAAGAAATTGATCAAGCTTGGACCAATCACTTTTGTATTAAATATTTTCATAATAATGTAACTTAAAATTGTCTATGCTTTACATTGCATGCATGCTGTCACACTTACTAATACATATATATTTATACAATAAATCACACAAAGCCAAACTTAATGAAAATGTCATGTTTTCTTTAATAGTTTTATGAAAATGTCAATGTATTTCCGTGGCAGTGTAATAAAAAGTGTGTTTGGAAGATATTCTGGTGTGTGTGTGTGTGTGTACTCTTCCTCTTAACAAAAATAAAAAAGGGTACAAAAACATTTTACCGATACAAAATTACGAAAGAGAATAAAGATAAAAAAATTAATTGGACCTTAAAAATATCCAACTAGGACTGCAATTTAAAGTAATACTTTTTTGCAATATTTCTGCAGTGTCTTACAAATTCCTGTTCTGAAAACAGCAAGTGTCTACCTGTGAGGGGAGTCTATTTGGCAGAACATTAAAAGTTTTTTTTACCCAAAACGTATTCTCGGCACCCAGAACCAAATCAGCTACTCTTCTGGTAAGGCTGTTTTAAGACACTACCAAAGCATACATTTCAACATCATGATAAAAGGGGTGTCGTAGAAAAGACATGTTGCGCTAAACAGCTAGACACGTATGGCAGTGGCAGGATACTGTTGACAGAACTTTACAGTTAACAATATAATGACTAGGGAGGTAGATGTTCAGTTGAAGCTCTCACCCATTATTCAAGTAAGGATCTTATCAATAGGCCTCACTAACTAAACATCATCACTTATGAACCACAGTAAGGCCCCTGTACTCTAATACATACTTATCTTTCATATGCAAAAAGGACTGCGTGATGGCCATGCTAGGTTGACGTTAGCTAAATGTACAGTACAGAGAACCCAGGGGAATGCATGTACTATATAGAAAAGAAAGTAGATCATATCACAATCCTACAAAAAGCAATACATATAGTCTAACAGGACAGAGAGTTCCAAAGTTGCCCATAAGCATGACAGAATAACAAGCTTAACCTGCACTAAAACAGCATGCTAACATAAGGCTAGTAAGCTGCAAGCATCAACAGTTTCCCGTAATTGCATTCCCTCAATTAATAGAAAAGGTACAGAACAGAAACAAAGCAGGATGGGTAAATCCTCTCTCTCGGGTCGTTCCACCTCAAAGCACAAGAAATGTATTGACACCCACCATTTCAGATTGTTCGGAAATAGTTTCTGTAGTTGGTAACAGATATGATTAGCGTTCCTTAAACATTATTTTGTTGAAATATAATTTAATCTCTGAGAAATTAAGCTAATTGATTGCACCCAAACTGGCAATTTGAATAGGATTCAGATAATACAATATACAGCTCCATACTACTTGTCAAACACAGAGAACTGATACTGTATACTGGATGTTGGGGTGGGATTGGCATGGGGTGTGGGGGGTCCATGGGTGGCTTACTCATTGGTAGGAAGAAGTTTGATCCAAATCGGATGTTGGGTACTATATTTCTTAAATATGATCTGAATCCTATCAATTAAAAACGGCCAATTTGGGTGCAATCAATTAGGTTAATTTCGCCAAGATAAAATGACATTTCAACAAAATAATGTTTTAGGAATGCCAATCTTACCTGTTTCTAATTAAATAAACAATTTCAGAACAATCGGATGGTGGGTGTCATGGCTTGCTGAAATGACATGGGACGACTCGCTCTCCTTCTCAGTCAGAGTCGCTCCTCTCCTCCTTCACCAGTAGTTTCTTCCCTTTCTTCGGCCCCACTCCGAGTTCCCGTTTGGCAACTCTCTTGGTGAGGCTGTAGGGGATTTAATGTTTAATTTGATTAAGATTCGGAAAGAAGGAAAAACACACTCACGAGAGAGCCAAATGTTGCATAAGGGAAAGCGAGAGCGGGAGGAAGAGAGGATGTGTGTGTGTGTGCGCGTGTGTATCAGAGAGGTAAGTGAACTCACCGTTTCTGACGGTATTTGTCAGCGTCGGCAGCAGGCACCAACTCACTCAGTTCAAGACAGTCATTGAGCTTCTTCAGCATCTCATATTTCTCCTTCCCTCGGATCTGGAGGGGCAGACGAGCCCAGTTACACAAACAGCCAACAGCAGACTAGTGACTAGGCATCTCTGAAGGGGACGAGACATGATAATAAATTGCTGTTGGTCTGTCCTCTGAGTAGTTACCTGAAGAGTGTAGATCTCATCGTCACTCACAGCAGGGGAGGAGGACTTGGTCTTCTTACTGACTTCAGGCCGAGGGGCAGGCAGGGAGGCCTCCTTCACAGCTGAGAAGAACACAAACATGACACACATGATGAGGAACTGCTCACACTCAGGGTCATAGGTCAATGTCAACCTTTATCAGCCACAGAATAGAGGAATTCAACTTTATTGTCCAATGTGAATCTGACATCTTTCTTTTTGCCATCTTATGTTATTCCCAACCTCCCAACCCCATGGACACCGCTTTAAGATTGCCAGGATCTATTACAGCGTTTGGTTCCCTGGGCAGGCTTGGTCTTGGTCTCCAGGATTGTCTCCTGCTGCTTCTTCAGGTTGATCTCCTCTGTCTTCCTGTCTCGACCAGGACAGGCACACACACGCACCTCAAAGGAGCGCCGGCCCAGGAGTTGCCCCCTGCAGGACGGGAGAGGAAGTTCCCATCACTGTCATACCATGACATGACATTGGTTGGGGTCAACCCAGGACCAGGGTTGGGGTCAATTCCATTTTAATTCAGTGAAATTAAAATGGTCATTCTTAGAAAAGCAACAATGACTCTGAATTTAAATGGAACTGAGACAAAACCCTGCAGAGGAGAGACACGGGCAGGTAGAGGGAGCCAGAGATCACAAATCAGTCAATGGAGCAACAGTCGAAAATGGATTATTAGATGATACTCACTCCTGTGTCTCCAGGGTGATGATGGTGAGGATGGGTCTGCGGTTCATCCCTCCCATACAGGAGCTGTTGCACATGAAGTTGTATAGCACAGTGGTACACTCTGATCCCACCTGGGAAACCAGATAGACATCTGTGACAGATGGATACACTCGCTCTCATACACACACATACAGTGCTGTGAAAAAGTATTTACCCCCTTTCTGATTCTCTACTTTCGCATATGTTTTATACTGAATGTTATCAGATCTTCAACCAAAACCTAATATTAGATAAAGGGAACCTGAGTGAACAAATAACAACAATTAAATACTTATTTCATAAACAAAGTTACGCAACACCCAATGCCCCTGTGTGAAAAAGTAATTGCCCCCTTACACTCAATAACTGATTGTGCCACCTTTAGCTGCAATGACTCCAACCATACACTTGGTTAACAGTTGTTAATCAGTCTCTCACGTCGCTGTGGAGGAATTTTGGCGCACTCTTCCATGCAGAACTGCTTTAACTCAGCGACATGTGGGTTTGCAAGCATGAACTGCTCGTTTCAAGTCCTGCCACAACATCTGAATTGTGATTTGGTCTGGACTTTGACTAGGCTACTAGAATGTGTGCTCGAAGGTTATACACCTGTCAGCAACGGGTGTGGCTGAAATAGCAGAATCCACTAATTTGAAGGGGTGTCCACATACTTTTGTACATATAGTGTATTCAGACCCCTTTACTTTTTCCACATTTTGTTACGTTACAGCCTTATTCTAAAATGGATTACATAAATATTTTTCCTCCTCAATCTACACACAACACCACATAATGACAATGGTCACTCTGACAGAGCTCCAGAGTTCCTCTGTGGAGATGGGAGAAACCTTCCAGAATGACAACCATCTCTGCAGCACTCCACCAATCAGGCTTTTATGGTAAAGTGGCCAGACGGAAGCCACTCCTAAGTAAAAAGGCACATGACAGCCTGGTTGGAGTTTGCCAAAAGGCACCTAAAGGACTCTCGGACCATAAGAAACAAGATTGTCTGGTCTGATGAAACCCAGATTTAAGTCTTTGGACTGAATGCCAAGCGTCACATCTGAAGGAAACCTGGCACCATCCCTACGGTGAAGCATGGTGGTGGCGGCATCATCATGCTGTCGTAACCTGACTTTTTATTAATACGGCGACTGTTATTTATCGAATCAACTGTGTTAATTGTCACTCTATTAAATTAATCATGTAACAATTAACTCATTAGGAATTTGGGGCACCACGGAAGAAGTTGTTTAACGAGTTACCATCTCCCGAATTAGACACTACCGTTCAAAAGTTTGGGGTCACTTAGAAATGTCCTTGTTTTCTAAAGAAAAGCTAACATCAAATTGATCAGAAATACAGTGTAGATATTGTTAATGTTGTAAATGGCTATTGTAGCTGGAAATGGCAGATTTTTAATGGAATATCTACATAGGCGTACAGAGGCCCATTATCAGCAACCATCAGTCCTTTGTTCCAATGGCACGTTGTGTTTGCTAATCTAAGTTTATCATTTTAAAAGGCAAATTGATCACTAGAAAACCCTTTTGCAATTATGTTGGCACAGCTGAAAACTGTTGTGCTGATTAAAGAAGCAATAAAACTGGCCTTCTTGAGACTAGTTGAGTATCGGGATGGCGTTTCGCTGCAGAATGCTGTGGTAGCCATGCAGGTTAAGTGTGCCTTGAATTTTAATTAAAATCAGACAGTGTCACCATAACACCTCCTCCTCAATGCTTTACGGTGGGAACTACATTTACATTTTTACATTTTTAGTCATTTAGCAGACGCTCTTATCCAGAGCGACTTACAGGAGCAATTAGGGTTAAGTGCCTTGCTCAAGGGCACAGACAGATTTTTCACCTAGTCGGCTCGGGGATTAGAACCAGCGACCTTTCGGTTACTGGCACAACGCTCTTACCCACTAAGCTACCTGCCGCCCTAACTACATGTGCAGAGATCATCCTTTCACCCACATCGCGTCTCACAAAGACACGTCGGTAGGAACCAAATATCTCAAATTTGGACTCCAGACCAAAGGACAAACTTCCACCAGTCTAATGTCCATTGCTCGTGTTTCTTGGCCCAAGCAGGTCTCTTCTTATTATTGGTGTCCTTTAGAAGTGGTTTTTTTGCAGCAATTCGACCATGAAGGCCTGATTCACAGTCCCCTATGAACAGTTGATGTTGAGATGTGTCTGTGAATAATTTATTTGGGCTGCATTTTCTGAGGCTGGTAACTAATGAACTTATCCTCTACAGCAGAGGTAACTCTGGGTCTTCCATTCCTGTCCTCATGAAAGCCAGTTTCATCATAGCGCTTGATGGTTTTTGCGACTGCACTTGAAGAAACTTTCAAAGTTCTTGAAATGTTCCGTATTGACTGACCTTCATGTCTTAAAGTAATGATGGACTGTCATTTCTCTTTGCTTATTTGAGCTGTTCTTGCCATAATATGGTCTTTTACCAAACAGGGACTATCTTCTGTATATCCCCCCTACCTGGTCACAACACAACTGATTGGCTCAAACGCATTAAGGAAAGAAATTCCACAAATTAACTTAAGAAGTAACACCTGTTAATTGAAATGCATTCCAGGTGACTACCTCATGAAGCTGGTTGAGAGAATGCCAAGAGTGTGCAAAGCTGTCATCAAGGCAAAGGGTGGCTATTTGAAGAATCTCAAATATAAAATATATTTTGATTTATTTAACACTTTTTAGTTACTACATGATTCTATATGTGTTATTTCATAGTTTTGATTTCTTCACTATTATTCTACAATGTAAAAAATAGTAAAAATAAAGAAAAACCCTTGAATGAGTAGGTGTGTCCAAACTTTTGACTGGTAGTGTGTGTGTGTGTATATATATATATATATATATATATATATATATATATATTATACACTTTATTACAGCAAAGACTAAAAACAGTTGCACGCATTCGTGAATTGCAGTTTATTTATTGTTTAGGCTAATTATCCAAAGCTCACTTTGTTATTTCATTTTAAAACTAAAATGTGCTCTTCAGCCGATGGTAGTTATACAAAGCTATTACTATAAGAAGCTTACTAATGATAATGACATTACTTATAATTATAATGATGATAATAATAATAATAATAAGAGCGAGAGCTGCGTGCATATTATGTGTGACAAACAGGTGCTGTTAGATAACAATATTATTTTTCTGCCCGTTTGGAAAAGTGTAAACACCAAATGTACCAGAAAGTCTGTTCTAACGAAACATTTGTAAAGGCTTTATTACAGCATAGCAAAGATCCAAAACAGCCGAATTTGTGAAATTGGTTTATCCAACATTTTGTGGTTGCGTGAGGCTTGGTGCTCATGGAAACAGTAGGCTACTAATTCAACGGCGCACTGAAGATTAAGTTCCAGAACCGCAGACAACGACCACTATCCATCACGGTAGAAAGCGCATTTGTCATAAAATAATATTATATTTATTAGTGAACCACCATTATTCTTAAATAATAGAATCATTTACAATTTCAGTAGCACATGTCTTAGAGCACAGGTGTCAAACTCATTCCACAGAGGGTCGAGTGTCTGCAGGTTTTCGCTCCTCCCTTGATTCATGAATTAGGGTCACTAATTAGTAAGGAACTACCCACACCTGGTTGCCTAGGGCTTAATTGAAAGGAAAAACCAAAAACCTGCAGACACTAGGCCCTCCATTGAATGAGTGACACCCCTGTCTGCGTGATGGACTGTGCCATCCCTGTGGCCTCCGCAATGGATTAGTCCACAGAGACAGGTGCAAATCAGACGGGTGTCTTGTGCACCATGAAAAAAGAAATCACATTTGCAACTGCTCGACTAAAGAAATCTCTGACCAACAGCCTATAGCCCAAACAATCGTCCAGTAGACTAAATGGGGTCAGCCCTAACACACACAACAGTAGAGTATGGGACCTACCTGAGGCGGCTCATAGGGGACGAGCACGCTCTGTCTCAGAGTGTTACCATCCTCCATATACTCTGCTCGCTGGTTCCCCTCAACTCTGACCAGGTGACCTCGTGGGGCAGGACCTAAGGCACAGAAAACACTTATGAGTATTAAGTGACACTGAGGATAGCCTACCAGCCGAAACATTTGCGTTACACTTGTTGCCTCTTGAATGAATGAGTATAAAAGAACTCAAACTCCTTTTATAGTGTGGACCCTCTATACTGCATCTAAGAGCACACAGTAGAACATTCTAGATCTTTCTAACACGTTGTAGTTTGGGTAAGAGTAGCCTTCCCGCTGTGTTGTGTACCTTCATTGTTCTCGCTGGTGCTCTGGTGGTGAGGACAGCGTCTCACCACGTCAGCCACGTCGCTCAACTTCTTATAGACGGCCAGGGCTCGTACCACTGCCCCCGGAGGAGGGGGGTGGTCCACCACAATCTGAACTGGACAAGTCTTTGCCAACTGGCAGAACAACTTGTTCAGGTCTGGAGAATACTGGAGAAGAAGAGCGAGAAGGGGTTTGTTAAAATCAAAAACCATACTTAGATTAAACAAAGACTGTCAGCATTGTTCTAGTACCGGTGTGATAGATATTATGGCAACGAAATACAAACTTCACCATATTAATTTGGTCACTGTACCCGAACCTATCACTTCTATTTTTTGATAGTTTGATTTAACTCACAAAATGAGTCAAAATTAGGATGTATACATGTCCAAAATTCATAAAGTAAATCTGATCCCCATTGTTCTTGTTTGACTCTGCCCTGAACCTTTCCATGTCCCCTTTGAAGTATTGGACAGTAGAAAATGTAGTTATTTCAAAGCACATGATTAGTTCAGATCTAATTAGTGACATGAGAAGGACATTTGACCATTACAAGAAGTTTGGACAAAAGAGGAATCTCTTACCTTCTGTATAAAGCAGAGTCCTCTTGATTCTTATCAACTGTACTGAAACTCAAGGCTGCTGTGACAGCCCAGCGTCCTCCAAATAAACACATTTTAACATCATTCCTCTCCTGATATACTCTCCAGATTATGAATGAGTCCAGGTTTAAATATTCTGTACAGAGATTATGCTGCTCCCCCAGTTCATATGGCCAGGACTGAAACCCCTCCCCCAACCCTGCTCTGAGGCAAGTCATGACATGTCCTCACAGGCTAAATGTACCATTGCCATTTCAACCTTTATAAAAGACTCATGCTTATTATGCTTTATTAAACATTCCAGTGAATGTGCTGTAGTAAATATAATACTATGTTAGGTGTTATTAATATTAAAGGTGTATAGCAGCGACATTATTGCAAATGTACCATTATAAAGTAAATGATATAGCGCCCATCACATTTACAATGCCTGCCTACAATGAGCTACATTGTACAAGTTTGATACCAACATCAGAGACATTGTTGCATTTGCTCCAAGTAACATTGTTGCAAGTGGAAGATGTTTATGCTATTGTGCCCATTTCAAATGAAACTTCATTTCCTCAAAAATGTAAACGGAACATGTAAAGTGTTGGTCCCATGTTTTATGAGCTGAAATAAAAGATCCCAGACGTTTTCCATATGCACAAAAAGCTTATTTCTCTCTAAATGTTGTGCACAAATTAGTAATTACTCCTTTGCCAATATAATCCATCCACCTGGCAGGTGTGGCATATTAAGAAGCTGATTAAACAGCATGATCATTACACAGGTGCACCTTGTGCTGGGGACAAAAGAAGGCCACTCTAAAATGTGCAGATGTGTCACACAACGCTACAGATGTCCCAAGTTGAGGAAGTGTGCAATTGGCATGCTGGCAGCAGGAAAATCCACCAGAGCTGTTGCCAGAGAATTGAATATTAATTTCTCTACCAATGTTGTTTGAGAATTTGTCAGTACGTCCAACCGGGCTCACAAACGCAGACCATGTTTATGGCGTTGTGTGGGCAAGCGGTATGCTGATGTCAATGTTGTGAATAGATTGCCCCATGGTGGCAGTGGGTTATGATATGGGCAGGCAGAAGCTACGGACAACGAACACAATTGCATTTTATCGATGGCAATTTGAATGCACAGAGATACCGTGACGGGATACTGAGGCCCATTGTCGTGCCATTCATACGCTGCCATCTCCTCATGTTTCAGCATGATGATGCACAGCCCCATGTTGCAAGGATCTGCACACAATTCCTGGAAGCTGAAAATGTTCTGCATACTCCCATGGTCTGCATACTCACCAGACATGTCACCCATTGAGTATGTTTGGGATGCTCTGGATTGACGTGTACGGCAGCGTGTTCCAGTTCCCGCCAATATCCAGCAACTTCGCACAGCCATTGACGAGGAGTGGGACAACATTCCACAGGCCACAATCAACAACCTGAGCAACTCGCGCCGAAGACGTGGCTGTCGATTAAGGAAACCCTTCACACCTCTCTGATTCAGAGGGGTTGGATTAAATGCGGAAGACACATTTCAGTTGAATGCATTCAGTTGTAACAACTAACTAGGTATCCCCCTTTCCTTTCGAAGGAGATGTGTCGCGCTGCATGAGGCGAATGGTGGTCACACCAGATACTGACTGGTTTTCTGATCCATGCCGCTACTTATTTTTTTGAAGGCATCTGTGACCAACAGATGCATATCTGTATTCCCAGTCATGTGAAATCCATAGATTAGGGCCTAATGAACTTATTTCAATTGACTGATTTCCTTGTAACTCAAGAAAATCTTTTAAACTGTTGCGTTTAGATTTTTGTTCAGTATATAATCTATATGCTAAGTATGTGTTACTTCCAACACCAGTAGGTAAGTTACTATTATAAAAGACACATTAAGATCAATATGAGATATTAGCTCCATTGTCATATCAAGCCCACACCTCTCATGTGTTGTCGTGACGTACTTTAACGTATGACTGTTATTTATTGAATCAGCTAACTGTGTTTAATTGTCACTCGATTAAATTAATCATGTAACAATTAACTCATTAGGAATTTGGGGCACCACGGAATAAGTTGTTTAAGGAGTTACCATCTCCCGAATTAAACTCATCTATCTATCTATCTATCTATCTATCTATCTATCTATCTATCTATATATATATATATATATATATATATATATATATATATATATATATATATATATATACACACACACACGTACATATATATACACACAGCTGCAGAAAAAATTAAGAGACCACTGCAAAATGATCAGTTTCTCTAGTTTTACTATTTATTTACATTTACATTTTAGTCATTTAGCTGACGCTCTTATCCAGAGCGACTTACATGAGCAATTAGGGTTAAGTGCCTTACTCAAGGGCACATCAACAGATTTTTCACCTAGTCGGCTCGGGGATTAGAACCAGCGACCTTTCGATTACTGGCACAACGCTCTTAACCACTAAGCTACCTGCCGCCCCATTTATAGGTATGTGTTTGGGTAAAAATAACATTTTTGTTTTATTCTATAAACTACTGACAACATTTCTCCCAAATAAAAATATTGTAATTTAGAGCATTTATTTGCAGAAAATGACAACTGGTCAAAATAACAAAAAAGATGCAGTGTTTTCAGACCTCGAATAATGCAAAGAAAATAAGTTCATGTTCATTTTTAAACAACACAATAGTAATGTTTTAACTTAGGAAGAGTTTAGAAATCAATATTTGGTGGAATAACCCTAATTTTCAATCACAGCTTTCATGCGTCTTGGCATGCTCTCCACCAGTCTTTCACATTGATGTTGGGTGACTTTATGCCACTCCTGGCGCAAAAATTCAAGCAGATCGGTTTTGTTTGATGGCTTGTGACCATCCATCCAGCACCCCCAGATCATCACCGATCCTCCACCAAATTTCACAGTGGATGCGAGACACTGTGGCTTGTAGGCCTCTCTAGGTCCCCGTCTAACCATTAGATGACCAGGTGTTGGGCAAAGCTGAAAATTTGACTCATCAGAGAAGATGACCTTACTCCAGTCCTCTATGGTCCAATCCTTATGGTCTTTTGCAAACCTCAGCCTGGCTCTTCTTTGCTTCTCATTGATGAAGGGCTTTTTTCTAGCTTTGCACAACTTCAGCCCTGCCCCTAGGAGCCTGTTTCGAACCGTCCTCGCCGTGCACTTCACCCCAGCTGCCGTTTGCCATTCTTTTTGTAGGTCACTTGATGTCATCCTACGGTTGTTGAGTGACATTCGAATGAGTTGGCGGTCATCCCGGTCAGTAGAGTCGTTTTCGCCCTCTGCCGGTCTGTAGCTTTGTTGTCCCCAATGTCTGCTGCTTGACCTTGTTCTTGTGAACCGCCGTCTTTGAAATTTTAAGGATGGAAGCAACCCGACGCTCACTGTATCCCTCTGCCAGTAAAGCCAGAATTGAACCCTTCTTTTCCTCACTCAAAACTTTCCCTTTGAACTCTTTTGACATGGTCAATAGTTATTTTTTGATTAATATTACTTTTGAGGTACTATTAGCACTGTTTTTGCGATCCAGCTGGTCCTATTGCAAGAGGATAGTGATGACCACAGCAGTGGTTTTTTATACTTTCTCGTTAAATAAGATTTGGTTCATGTGATCACCTAATCAGTACCTAATTCAGTAGAATGAGGTGTGCCTGTGTTTGAATTCAACAGACACTGGAATGGAATGGCTGTCATACATGTAGAGATGCTAATTTAAGAAAAATTTGCAGTGGTCTCTTAATTTTTTCCAGAGCTGTATGCATGCATGTATGTATGTATGTACGTACAGTGGGGAGAACAAGTATTTGATACACTGCCGATTTTGCAGGTTTTCCTACTTACAAAGCATGTAGAGGTCTGTAATTTTTATCATAGGTACACTTCAACTGTGAGAGACGGAATCTAAAACAAAAATCCAGAAAATCACATTGTATGATTTAAGTAATTAATTTGCATTTTATTGCATGACATAAGTATTTGATCACCTACCAACCAGTAAGAATTCCGGCTCTCAGAGACCTGTTAGTTTTTCTTTAAGAAGCCCTCCTGTTCTCCACTCATTACCTTTATTAACTGCACCTGTTTGACCTCGTTACCTGTATAAAAGACACCTGTCCACACACTCAAACAGACTCCAACCTCTCCACAATGGCCAAGACCAGAGAGCTGTGTAAGGACATCAGGGATAAAATTGTAGACCTGCACAAGGCTGGGATGGGCTACAGGACAATAGGCATGCAGGTTGGTGAGAAGGCAACAACTGTTGGCGCAATTATTAGAAAATGGAAGAAGTTCAAGATGACGGTCAATCACCCTCGGTCTGGGGCTCCATGCAAGATCTCACCTCGTGGGGCATCAATGATCATGAGGAAGGTGAGGGATCAGCCCAGAACTACACGGCAGGACCTGGTCAATGACCTGAAGAGAGCTGGGACCACAGTCTCAAAGAAAACCATTAGTAACACACTATGCCGTCATGGATTAAAATACTGCAGCGCACGCAAGGTCCCCCTGCTCAAGCCAGCGCATGTCCAGGCCCGTCTGAAGTTTGCCAATGACCATCTGGATGATCCAGAGGAGGAATGGGAGAAGGTCATGTGGTCTGATGAGACAAAAATAGAGCTTTTTGGTCTAAACTCCACTCGCCGTGTTTGGAGGAAGAAGCAGGATGAGTAAAACCCCAAGAACACCATCCTAACCGTGAAGCATGGAGGTGGAAACATCATTCTTTGGGGATGCTTTTCTGCAAAGGGGACAGGACGACTGCACCGTATTGAGGGGAGGATGGATGGGGCCATGTATCGCGAGATCTTGGCCAACAACCTCCTTCCCTCAGTAAGAGCATTGAAGATGGGTCGTGGCTGGGTCTTCCAGCATGACAACGACCCGAAACACACAGCCAGGGCAACTAAGGAGTGGCTCCGTAAGAAGCATCTCAAGGTCCTGGAGTGGCCTAGCCAGTCTCCAGACCTGAACCCAATAGAAAATCTTTGGAGGGAGCTGAAAGTCCGTATTGCCCAGCAACAGCCACGAAACCTGAAGGATCTGGAGAAGGCCAAAATCCCTGCTGCAGTGTGTGCAAACCTGGTCAAGACCTACAGGAAACGTATGATCTCTGTAATTGCAAACAAAGGTTTCTGTACCAAATATTAAGTTCTGCTTTTCTGATGTATCAAATACTTATGTCATGCAATAAAATGCAAATTAATTACTTAAAAATCATACAATGTGATTTTCTGGATTTTTGTTTTAGAATCCGTCTCTCACAGTTGAAGTGTACCTATGATAAAAAATTACACAAAGCATGTAGAGGTCTAAGTAGGAAAACATGCAAAATCGGCAGTGTATCAAATACTTGTTCTCCCCACTGTATGTGTGTATATATATGTATATATATATATATATATATATATATATATATATATACACACACACATACATATATATATAGATAAGTCGCTTATCAAATAATTACCTCTTATCAGTCTCATTCTGAACGTTGCATAATCCTTGAACCTGCAAGAACCCTACCCTTATTGATGAATCAGCAATACACAAAATTGGCTTAATTATTTATTTACTAACTAACTAAATAATAACACAATACAAACACACAGTTGTAGTTTTAAACCATTTTGTAACATTTAGCTCACGCTTCACGTCTGCTGGTCTTGTAGAGTGTCAACCATTTTAAGCCGTGGGCTTCCTGGTCTGGTAGAAATTAAGTCCCCACCAACCATTTCCCACATTCTTTTAAATAGGAATATTGTTTCATTATCCACTTTTGGATGTTGGAGTCTTGGCAGGAAGACTTCCTTTGTTAACAAAGGGGTCCTTTCTCCCAATACTTTATGGCAAGGAAGAGAAAGTCTGCACGGTATTTATGACCGGTCATAAAACTGGTCCCCAGGAAAGGGGGTGTTCAAACCTTTGCCTAGTCGGCATGTTTGATCCTCAACCCATGAGGGCACGTCATGACAGTGTATACCACAACATTAACATGTGTGAAAACCACGATCACATCCCCAAAAACATGAATGAAACATAGGTGATAAACAGACGCTATCAAGGTGATAATAATTAAGAATAAGAGCGTAAAAAGAGAAAGTTCGACTGACCGGCAGTCGAACTAAGCGGAGGACGCAGGGCGGGGAGATGCCATGTTAGTTAACACCATCCTTACTGGAAGAGATTTGTTGAAATCACAAACAAACCAACGACATGTCCCGTCATGTCTTAGGACAATGCTTTGTGAATCAGTTGTCTTAAAAATCGACAAGCTATAGAAGGGCCACCATGAGACTTGTCTAACATGTTGATGGGCCAAGTTGTTCAAAGATTCGGGTGAAATCTAGCAATTGATTTTGCAATGACAACAGAATAGGTTGATCCTCCCCTGCCATGTTCTTGTGTGGCAAGGTTCCCTCTCTCTTTGCAACCTTCTGCTACACCGCACAGACAAAGGAGGACTGGACGGGATCTTATTTAACTTTCTGCAGTGGCCCAGGTAATTGACTATGTCCATTCAAAGGATGCTTAATTGGATGCGTTTGACTATATACTCGTCTGCGAACATATTAATAGAATCTAGGACGATTTAAAAAAGAAAAGGCCTACCTTGGTGACCAATGTTGAATGGAATGTTAGTTATATTCAAAATGACCAATTCAAAATGACAAAAACTATGGTGCTATACCAGAGCATTTCCATGTAAAATGCCCCATAAGCATTAACGTGAAGTTCATAAGGGCACATCAAATTTGGTGTCAAATGAAAACTAAGAGTCTATACATATATACATTTCTCAACCATTTCCCATCGTAAGAATTTGGAATAAGCATGCAAAGGCTTTGATTTCTGGTCAAACAGATGGAAAATGAGTTTTAGAAATACATCAGAACACAATAATGTTGAAGTAAAGACCCGTACCAACTAATATAAATGATTTGCCTTCTGTAAGTTTAAGAAATATTGCCTAGTGTCTTGTCATTCTGTTACCAAAAACCCACATATCTTCAAGATATTTTCAAATCTCTCCCTCATGAGGGAGGATAATGGAAGTTCACAGAAGTAACACATACAAAGGTAGACCTACCAATTAGTTATTGTTTCTACTGATAATTTGGTTTATGATTTATTAAGTAACTAGAAAATGCGTCATTCTGTTACCAAAAACCCACATATCTTCAAGATATTTTCCAAATCTCTCCCTCATGAGGGAGGATAATGGAAGTTCACAGAAGTAACACATACAAAGGTAGACCTACCAATTAGTTATTGTTTCTACTGATAATTTGGTTTATGATTTATTAAGTAACTAGAAAATGCGTCATTCTGTTACCAAATGGGTAACGAATGACCCTCCGAAAAATTGGGAATTCATAGTAGTCACAAACCACAGTTGGGTCACCTGCTACTGTCCTGCCTTCCACTGTCAGACTGTTATGTTCAACTCATAACAGTTTTCTTTCTCTTTCTGTTATGTGGTGGTCAAATGGTCCAAAAGGATTCTGGACAACCCCTCCCTCGCTCTATCTCCAGTTAATGTTACCTCTCCCAGCTCATACTGACACCTACCCATGAGCCCCCTTTCTTTCCATTTACTGTATCAGCCCTCTCACCCACTGAGCACTGACGTCCATGGACGTTGAAAATAAGTTAACATTTTATCAGTCCAAATCTGAACCAATCATAGACGTTTGGACAGCACAGTAGATTATAGGTCAGTACAATACAGTACAGTTTAGTACAGTTCAGTAGAGCACACTAGAGTACTTTACTGAACTTTACTCTGTACTGAACTCTACTCTGCTGTACTCTGATGTCCAACCTTGTGAAACATAGACGTCTACGATTGGTACAGATTTGGTCTGGTCCAACCAAATTTGGTCTTGTTTGGGGGCGGAGCTCATTAGAATAATATCCAGTGTGTAGTAGAATAATACCCAAACATGCAAAGGAGGATATTACATTTTTCTACCTTTGTGTACATATTCAGGATACATCACCATGAAGAGAACGACATTCATAATTATGGATTTCTGTATAGTACAGATCATGGACCCATAATGTTATTCTGTTACCATCATTTTGTTACCAGTTATTAATCCAGTTCACTTACTGTAATTCAATAACCAAAATGGATTTTTTCAAACTCAAGGTGTTATATCATAGCCCACACTATTCTTTCTGCAGACATCTTTGAATCTTAAAAAGGATAGTTTGGGATTTTGGCAACTTCCCCAGAGTCAGATTTTATGTCTGCGATAACGCTAGTTAGCATTGACTCGTGAAACTACCTCATACAATACGCAGAGATATACAAATGGCATCCATGAGTTCATCAGACTCTGGGGAAGTAGATAAAGGGCTTAATTGCTCAAATCCCGCACTATCCCTTAACTGAGTTTTTGGAAAACGTGGTCACAAACTGAGGGAGATTTTGCCGCCATTCTGTTACCAAACTTTACATCTGCACTGTTCTTCGAGTAAATGTGATTTTTGTAAATGTCAGTGGACATTGTTAAAAGTAGTGATTGTGCATAGTTTCACTTTGCAATCAATGGTTTTTCATTGGCATACTTTGTGAAAAATCTGAGTCACAGCATCATTCTGTTACTGTGGAATTGCCCACCACTAAGAGTTATAAGAAATCATACATTAAATAAAATCATATTTCATTAAAACTATAGTTAATGTGATTGATACGCTATAGAAAATATTATGGCAATTTAGATTAAAAACTTTATTTACACATAGGCTACTTTAAATGATGAATAAGAGTTTAATTGAGCAGCCATCATGGGTGGTATACATAGGGCCCTATAAAATCTGCGATGCGGAAAACGCGGACGGAATCTGATATTAAAACGGAATTAAACAATATAAAAAATGTATTGAACTTAGTAGAAAGTTTGTTAGATGTATTGACCTAGAAAAGTAGTTAAACTGCACTAGTTTCTCATAACTCATGAAAATAATGCATCAGTGATTCTCATTTCCTGTAACTTTCTGAAGAAGTAATGGCTAGGGAATGCGCTTGTTTGTGTTGTGTAACCAGTTAGAATGCCGAAACTAAAGGCTTTCCCAAAAAAACGTTCCAATTAAATATTGACTGCAAAGTAGGCCTACTTGGCAGAATGACATCATGATGAATTGCCTATCAATCAGGTGGGCATTTGTTTTGCCACATACATGCAGTACAGAATATTTTTCCCAAACATCAAAAGTGGTCTCCTGATGTGGTTTCAGCATTGTTGTGGACCAATGTTGTTTTCTATGAAAAAGTGTGATTGTGAGTGGTCCTCTGTAGCTCAGCTGGTAGAGCACGGCGCTTGTAACGCCAAGGTAGTGGGTTCGATCCCCGGGACCACCCATACACAAAAATGTATGCACGCATGACTGTAAGTCGCTTTGGATAAAAGCGTCTGCTAAATGGCATATACCATTTTTATTTTTTTACCTGAAATTGGAAAAGGCCCTAATTACATAGGTGTGTGTTTGCTTGTGCATGAGTGTGTCAAATCCCTTAGACTCACTGTGCAAGTGACGGACTTGGCTGTGCTGGACTGGAGGAAACGTAGCTGGAACCCCAGGGCCCCGGGGTAGTCAGACGTGGTTGGTACGGTGGAGGTAGGTGGAGAGCCAGTGTCCAGGGTAGAGATGGAGGGCTGGGGTGCAGACACCTCAAACAGACTCTGATCAAACTCCCCCTGGAGAGGGGCCTCCATCATGAACTGCATGTAAGAGAAATATGTTTTTCTTAATACAACGAATGGTATCAGAGCAAGAGTTTCCTACAAAGGTTAGGTAAATAGTGCACTGCAATGGGGAGACCAACATTTGTTTCCGGCAACAACCCAATTGTAACTTGAGACAACATTAAACATTTGACAACATAAAAATAACTCACTAAATATTACACAGAAATAACATGCACATATGAGGAAAAATTACTTGCTGCAGTGAAACGTACATTATCATATTCCACCCAAGCCTCGGTTACAGGTGGTTGAACTTCCCTGATATATATATGAGAGAGAGAGAGAGAGAGACTTTAAACTTAGAAAACAACCAAATGCAGGCATTGATCATGCCATATTACAAACGTTGAGAATGTCAAAACTTTGGAGCTGATGGTGATAGCAACCGCTGCCTAGCTTATGTCTACACATCACAGATGGTCATAACCCTGAGGATGGAGACAAAACTTAAGAGGCAGAAACACTAGGAGGAGGAAACATAACATTTCAGTATCTGATTAATTCCATTGTCATACTGCACAGTTTCTTACATCAGGTTCAAATTCATTTTCCACAGGTCCTCGAAAGACTCCTGGCTGAGGGGAAGAGACACGTTCTCCACCAGATCAGCCATGATGGCTTTCTCTAGCACCTCAAAGCAGCACAGAGGGAAGCAAAGCCAACCGGAGCTGAAAGGAGAGACAAGAGATGAGAAACATGCAATATGATAAGAATGAGATGAAATAAGCGTTACAGTATTTACTATGTAACGTTAAACAGGATACAATACAAATTGCCAAGACATATCAAAATGATTAGCTCGTAGTAAGAAGAATGGGAGGGCTCAAAATGCTAAGTGTGGTTCCAAACGACGTTTCAGGGACGTTTGTTGTCTTTCCATACCTAACATGCTCACTTCCGTGTTATTGCCACGATGACCATGCAATAGCTAACAAACGTACATCATTTCAATACAATCTAACGTTAACTAGGTATAAAACAATGCCGACATACAATCTCCCTTGCTAGATAACTCCCATTCAAGTCAGTCTCATAGATGAAAGCAGTACACAGTCATTGGCTACCTGAATGATGTAAAACAAACCCCATAAGCGACAAACCAAGGAATGTTCGCTAGCAGCTAACTAGCTCTGATCATTTAAGTCTATCTGGTGGACTAACTTACCTTCTCCGATCTTATTACCCCGAAACTCCTGACTGCACAGTTATAAATTCACATGTATTTTTGCCGGGGGTGTTAAGTATCTATTTTGCCAGCACAATATTTCTATACTTTTCGTCCACGCGTTGGGGAATCCCCTAAATTTGACCTGAGATGTGGGCGGAGTCAAATGGGTCAGCCAATCAAATCCAACCAACGAAAAGTAAATTCATTAAAATCAAAACTGCGCCGAGGGGCTCGAAATATATATATATATATATAATAGAACTTTAGCGATGTCAATGATAGTAAACTACAAATAAAATGTCAAAGGAATATTTTCATGTTGTATGATCAAGTGTTGTTGGGTGCGTTCCAGATATAGTCTCCCAAGGCTGGCATTCCAGATACATTGGAGAAGTGTCTCGCTAGTATTGGGGGCTTTGCGCCCAAGGAATACTGTAACACAGGCTGGTGTCTACCTAAGGCCCGGACTTTTATTGTACAAGGAGCAGATCCTCACTGTTGCACCACAGGATCGTAAGATTGAACAATCTGTCAGCTGTTCGCTCTCTCTCCATCTACAATGAAACCAGCAAAGGCATGCATAATCTGGAACGCACCCAAATGGCCCACAACCCACAGGCCTGAGCAAATTATGACAAAAGTGACATAAAATTAAGAGAAGATGCTTTTATAGATTCAAATTAACAGAATACAAACAATTTCCCTGTCCAATTTACCGATATCATACACTCACCTCCATATGTATTTGGACAGTGAAGCAACATTTAATTTGCCTCTATACTCCAACATTTTGGATTTTAATCAATATTGGTTTTAGCGCTTTATGTATCTAGTCCCAGCATTGAGTACTTTCTTTTCTAAACGGTAAAACAGATATGTATGAAAATACCCTCAAATAAAAGGTGACATTCCGTACTGTCGTCTCATATTAAACATTTGATCTCAAAATGCTGGAGTAGAGACATTTTAGCTTCACTTTCAAAACACAGAGGTGAGTACATGCTAGATTACAAAACAAAAACCACCAGAAAGAGTGGTGATGTGAGGATATCAGAGCCTCCATTTCATTATTTTACTGAAAATATAGAAGTTTCATGTTTCAAGTGGATGTTTCATACTTTTCTTGACCATCTAAAAGTCAATATAGGCTACATAGTTCTAAAATCCAACTTTTCAAACAAACTTTTTGATATAATAATCAGATAAATATGTAGACATACTTTACAGGGAAAACGAAGAGAGATTCTCTGCACATCCTTTCTGCTTCTCTACCACATGGGCACATACAATGGCTCTCTGTCACAGGCACATGCCGGACATGGTGAACAAGACTGACAAAAAATACATAACTGTAACAAAACCAATAAATGCAAGTAAACAATACATATATAATTAATTCAAATAATGATTGTAGATAATTGGCAGAATCTACCGCACACCCAAATCAGATTAGTGAAGGTAGTAGAGGCAAAATGCTAAACTGGAGAAACAGGAAAAACTATCCAGACAGATGCAAATTCATTTTAAATGGTAGCTGAGCTTTCGGTCAGTCGACCTTCATCAGAGCCAATTCAAATAATTCATAAAATACTTTAAAAGCCTAAGCACTAATGTATCAGTGTAAAATCTATTTATCTGATAGAAAATGTGACTAATTGCATCAAAAACCTCCCCGAAACCATACGTTAATTGAAATATACATAAATTAACAACAATTAAATTCCTTGACTGCATAGCATGTTTATCTAATATCAATGGCAACTTACTCCTGCAATTGAATCACCCACCTTTTATTGGTGATGTCTGGAAAATAAGTAGGGAAAGAGGTCTCCATGAGTGGGTTTGAAACTCTGGGGAGATGGAAAGATTGAGGGGTTGCATAGAGATCCATGATAAACAATAGTGAACAAAAGGCGGAAAATTGCTCCTATAATTCTAACTGACAAAAGCCGTAAATGGAGGATAGTCAAATAGAAGGTCAAAACATCAGGAAAAGAGCATCATTGGTAACCAATTGTATTGCTTGAACAATTTCGGAAGTAGAAATCAACCGTTTTTTTTTAAAAGTAAAGGAACACCCTCCTGAAGACCCTGTTATCTGTGAGGAAAATGTATAAACTTAGCCAATAGCCACCATGATAGAATGACAAATATAGGAAACTACAAATTGAGTAGTTGACGTGAAATAGAAAATGAAAAAACAAAAAGGCGAATATTACACTCACTCCAAAAGCAGCTGTACAAAATTCACAAATAGATACATCACCCACAGAAAAAGTCAAGTCATCCCAGTGCTTTCAACTACAAGAACACAGACTCACTGATTCATTCAAATAATACACTGGTTTTAGTTTCATTAGTCCCATAGCAATGTGAAGAGTAAAATCCAGTAGGGAACGAGGGTCGAATCCAAAAACAGCAGGCTATATTTTGATATCTATCTCGACAACTCTTATTTTCTGTTAAGTGAAAATCACGAAACATGATGAGTCATTTGAGCAGGCCATTTTATCTTCATTTTTTTCGCGCTCTCCCTCTCCTCCTAACGACTAAAAAGTGCATCATCAACTTCCGCCCCTCTTCTCTCCCACAGACTGGCATATATTCAAGACTCTTCTGCATGTGTTCCTGTAACTATTTGTTTATGCTTTACTTCTTGTGAATGACCTCTCCTTAGATTCATCGATGTATTAATACACGTTTCTATTCCAAGCCATCATCTCAGTTCTTTCTTTCGTTTTTACAAAGATGAACACTTCCCTCCCACATATCTTGTCACATGTTCTCTTCTTACACATCACCATACGCCTCCGCATGAAAAAATTAAAGCCATTGCATGTTTCGTTTTCAAGTGCAATTTTAATAAAATGTGTATATTTTCATTTAAAAAGTTTAGGAAAATATGGCTTCCACAAATACAGTATGTTTATGTGAATGGAAGAGTGTTCTTCCTTGCGAATGATCATTTCCTCCATGGGCCCTGAGAAGGGTTTACATTTAATCATTTAAAATGTATTAACTAAGATTTTAAGATTAAGAATAAAATAAGAGTATTTTAAGAGGCTTTCATTATCAGTAAAAAGTTAATAGCACAGAGAACTTACGCTTGGGTTAATTTGGTAACACATCAACAATGAAAACAGCACCATTGTTTGGAATGCAAATATTATCATTGTGAATCTACCAATTCTCCCTCATAGTACAGTGGGGAAAAAAAGTATTTAGTCAGCCACCAATTGTGCAAGTTCTCCCACTTAAAAAGATGAGAGAGGCCTGTAATTTTCATCATAGGTACACGTCAACTATGACAGACAAATTGAGATTTTTTTTCTCCAGAAAATCACATTGTAGGATTTCTAATGAATTTATTTGCAAATTATGGTGGAAATAAGTATTTGGTCACCTACAAACAAGCAAGATTTCTGGCTCTCACAGACCTGTAACTTGTTCTTTAAGAGGCTCCTCTGTCCTCCACTCGTTACCTGTATTAATGGCACCTGTTTGAACTTGTTATCAGTATAAAAGACACCTGTCCACAACCTCAAACAGTCACACTCCAAACTCCACTATGGCCAAGACCAAAGAGCTGTCAAAGGACACCAGAAACAAAATTGTAGACCTGCACCAAGCTGGGAAGACTGAATCTGCAATAGGTAAGCAGCTTGGTTTGAAGAAATCAACTGTGGGAGCAATTATTAGGAAATGGAAGACATACAAGACCACTGATAATCTCCCTCGATCTGGGGCTCCACGCAAGATCTCATCCCGTGGGGTCAAAATGATCACAAGAACGGTGAGCAAAAATCCCAGAACCACACGGGGGGACCTAGTGAATGACCTGCAGAGAGCTGGGACACAAGTAACAAAGCCTACCATCAGTAACACACTACGCCGCCAGGGACTCAAATCCTGCAGTGCGAGACGTGTCCCCCTGCTTAAGACAGTACATGTCCAGGCCCGTCTGAAGTTTGCTAGAGTGCATTTGGATGATCCAGAAGAGGATTGGGAGAATGTCATATGGTCAGATGAAACCAAAATAGAACTTTTTGGTAAAAACTCAACTCGTCGTGTTTGGAGGACAAAGAATGCTGAGTTGCATCCAATGAACACCATACCTACTGTGAAGCATGGGGGTGGAAACATCATGCTTTGGGGCTGTTTTTCTGCAAAGGGACCAGGACGACTGATCCGTGTAAAGGAAAGAATGAATGAGGCCATGTATCGTGAGATTTTGAGTGAAAACCTCCTTCCATCAGCAAGGGCATTGAAGATGAAACGTGGCTGGGTCTTTCAGCATGACAATGATCCCAAACACACCGCCCGGGCAACGAAGGAGTGCCTTCGTAAGAAGCATTTCAAGGTCCTGGAGTGGCCTAGCCAGTCTCCAGATCTCAACCCCATAGAAAATCTTTGGAGGGAGTTGAAAGTCTGTGTTGCCCAGCGACAGCCCCAAAACATCACTGCTCTAGAGGAGATCTGCATGGAGGAATGGGCAAAAA